TTCTATCAATCGAAAGGAGACTGCGACCACACCAGAGGCCACAACATCTTGGTCTTCATATATTCAAAGTTGTATTTGTTTTAGCTATCAACTAAATTACCTATTTTTCATCTCGTATTTTGTGTTTTTTGACTAACATTAGGTCTGATAAAATAGCTTATCCGGGACTGGTAGTTGGATTTTTCTACAAGGGAAAAATACATTTAAAATTGCAATGGAAACTTAGGGCCAACTCATATGAATGTGGCAAAATTCACGAAATATGGTGCTTACAGCTTTAACATCAAAGCTAATGGTAGTCTCAAAGATCCTACTAATAAAATGAAAAATACCTTCCATTTTACTGACTGATTCATACCTGCTAAGATATTCTCGTCTCTTCATAGTCAATGTTAGTAGATTTCGAGACTATCAATCTATTTTAAGCTACAACGATTTATAGCTGAGCCAACTACGAGAAGGAGACAGAAAAAAAGTTTAAAACAAGCAAATTCGCAGTTGTAATTCCACCCTAAATATCTGACAGCATTTTCACACTCTCCCAGATTTTGTAATTATCACCAACCGGCATCAAGCGCAAAGTGAACATGTTTAAAATCTAACAGATAATCGCCAAACGACTCAACCTGAGTTTATAGCAAGTGGGACTTTCAGGGTGCATTTGGCTCTTTCGACTCGAGTATTGAAGGGATTCGTACTTTGGCCCCATCAGACCCTAAAAGACGATTGCATACGAAGTGTGCTGGTAGTCTTGAGTGCGTCAATATTTGGCCTATCGTCTCTCCATCCCAGAGAATAGGCGATAAACTTCTCAGATCGCAGTATCGTAAAAATAACCCTATTTTTGACGTACCCCAGCCTTCAGAGAGCCATAAGTGATGATTGAAAGCAGCCCTGCCTACCTCCTATAACGCAATTTTGAGTGCTTAGTGAGAAACTTGCAATTGGCTGGTTAATTCATGCTTTTCCTTGAATCTTTTCATTGGAGTAAAGTTGATGAAGGTACGACCAAGCATCATTTGTTTCCCAATTGACCAATTCTTTGATCCTACAATGCGGATATTTCTTCTAGTGTTTTTGGTTGCACATATTTTATTCAAGATGGGTGTCTTGATGTATATATGCAATGCAGATGAACCACTTGAGACGTAATAAATTTAATCAGACTCCAGGTTAAATAACCAATTTTGATGCTAAAAAACAACCCAAAAAACCTAGGGTAAAACGATAAAACCTAAATCGCCTAAAAACCACACTCGACTAACTATTACCAACCATAACGCCACCTCTAGTGTCATAACTACCAACAAAGACACAAAAACAGCATTTGCTGCTTATGGTTTTTTTAAAACACAAAAAAATAAGACCAAATCATTAAAATTCTCTAAAACAGTTAAAAGATTTATAAATTTTCCGCAAACAACAAGTAATAAAACACAAACAATGGAATTGGATTAATAAAGAGAAACAGGAACTTGCTTTTCTTAGGTAGCTTAAGCTGAGCTAAGGAGAAATAGTGGAGTTTATCCCACAATTAAATAAGTTGGCCTGATGATACCATTGAATTTTACCCAGCCTTTCCTCCAAAAAGTTGTTCTCACCCAGAGTGGACTGCAGTTTCGACCCCACCTTGATCTTATTAACACCCCAAGCGGGACTCGAACAAGGACACTGCAGCGTATAATCTCGACAAGTGAACCCGATACGCCACATTATCATGAATGCCCTTGGGTCAAAGAGCAGATGTGAATTTAAAGGAAGGCCAGGCATTTTCCCATATCACATTCTGTGGTGGGATTTTCGATGAAGCAAAGTTGTATTTGCTATGTCTATATTACTTATTTTTTAGTTTATAAGTAGACTATTTATCTATGAAGCGTGTTCATACTATTTCGTTCAAGGTAACGAGAGGAATTTTAGTTGAATTTTTTTCACAATGATATGAGTAAACCTTATATTTATATTGAATTTCGCATAGCCTTTATTTCCTTAAAGTATTCTCATCCAGGGTGGACTACAGTTAAGAACTCGCCTAAGGCTTTATTAGTAAATATATCAATATATACTTTGTTTTCTCACTAAAATTTTAGACAGATCTATCATGAAAGTGGGAAACATTGCTCGTCTTAAAAGTTAATTCTGTTCTGTGATCAGTGCTGATGAGGCCCTAGCTGAGAAAAATGTTGTGATTCAAGGCTAAATGTGCATTGATGACAAAGTGAGGACTGCCAATTTTATTGTGGGATATTAAGCTATAATGTGTTAAATCACCTTAAGCGAAATCAACTGTTTAAAGTTTTTACATATAAGATGTGTTCACCCTATTTCGGTTAAGGTGATGAAAGACTGATAGTTGAATTTTTCCACACTTATATGAATAGGCCTTTAACTAGTCATATCATTGCAGGAAAATTCACATATCAGTCCTTCATCACCTTAAACGAAATAGGATGAACACATTTCATATATATGACTTACTGGCAGTCTCGAAAAGATACTCAAAAGGAAAAAATAAGGTTCTTATACAAAATCTATATATATATACATATATACCTTAACTCCTAATGTGCACATAACTGTCTCCGCCAATTTGTGCGATATTACCCAAGTACCAGAACAAATATATCTTCTTTCACCTCTCGACCGCAAGAGGTCACCGACCAAGAGTCGCAGGTGGCTTCTGCTGTCGTGGCTACCCTAAGTAATATTAAAATGGCCTCCTTCATTTAGTTGCTATGACGACAAATCCGAGGCGTTTCTTTTTCTCTGGCACAGCATTACAACAACACAAATGGGATTAATTGCAACAGCAAACCGTCCGATGTGGTGCTCCACTTCAACGAGGGCTGTAAATGTGAAAACTCTGTGCGAACCGATGACAACAGGTTTCGGTATGTGCCCACCTGTGCCTGAGTTATCCGCAACTGGCTACTGCTTTGGCTTGACGCCATTCTTTATTTTTCTATGTGTATGTGTGTTCAACTGCCATGAGTTACACGAGAGAGGGCCTTTCTCCATTTCACCTGGTGGGTTGCCATGGTGGACTTAAGACGATTAAATGTAATGTCGATAATGTTGAAACTAAATAAAGTTTGAAGAGCTATCCCCTCGTTGGCAAGCCTGATCAGGTTCATCTCTTCCTACCTTCAGGGCCAAATATGGCCTCTTTTCACTTTTTTGTTTGCATAAACTCGGACAATTTTAGCATTCAGTTTTACTTTTACCCCTCGTCACTTGGCATATGTTGGAGGAATTAGGGCTAACTCTTTGAACACCACCCCCAAACGTCTCAATTTTGGCTGTCCTACACTTCGAAAGGTCGATGCAAGCAGTGTTGGCTTACGCATTGCCTCGGGGTGCTCATGTGTCTCTATTGACATTTCTCTGAGGCTAGTTACCAGAGAAACTTCCGAAGTGCTCAATTATTTTTGAATCACCAATTTCCTGGTGCAGCTATCAGCAGGCAGCCTGGTTGTTGTCAAGTTTTATAATTTTGTACACGTTCAATTGGAATGATAGCAAATCTGTCTATGCTGAATCGAAGAATGCTTGGATCTCATCGCTATATGTATAGAATAATTCAAGTCTGAACAACAATTTCACTTATTGTTCCAGTAACCCTAGTTCAAATAAGGTGATGAAGGGCTTCTAGTCTAAATTTCCCACATTACTACATGTTTTTTTCATGTCTTTATTGAATTTCACTTAGTCTTGCCCCCTAAATGCTATCTTCATCCGGGCTGGATGGTAGTTTCAACGTCGCACCCCCAACGCAAACCCAGGCGAGGTTGAAACTCTAGTCCAGTCTGGATGATAAAACACTTTTGGAAGCAGGGATAAGTGAAATTTGATTGCATCGTGAGGCCAACTCATTTTTTTGCAAAAAAATGCATCTATAAATCCGTCATCACTTTATGCGACCAATAGAAAATGCAGTTCTTATTGCTAAAATAAAGCCATACTAATAAGAATAGTCGAGCTTCCACTCGAATTCCTTTGGCATAGCTCAACTGTCTGTCTCGTTATTAATTAAAGGAATAATTGAGGCATAAAGCATGGGGCTTGTCAAATATAAGTAGTATGAGAATTACAAAATGATTGTGGTTCTCGTTGGGTATGAATTTGCATCAAAAGTATGGGCTAATAGAGCAATAATATTAAGCGCATTAGTGAAATATTTTTTTAATTGCTGCTGTTATGAGACTAAAGAGAAGGTTAACTTTTGTAGTAAATTTCACTTGACAGTAGTTTAAAATTGAGTTTTATACATTCTAGACTCAAGTCACCGCATAAACCTTAATCTCATCGCCAAAGCCGCAACAGAACTCGAACCCATAACCTGCACAGGGAATACGAGAAGGTTGTGCATTCAGGTAAAACGGAATTATTTGGCCTCCTAGTTGGTTTGCCCATTGCTAAACATGAGGAAATAGTGAATTGACTACTTTGTTAACTCTTCCTTTGATTGATATTATACTTTCTTTATTTGGACCTCGTGTTCCTCACTCCTAAGAAACTGTACGTCAGCTCTTGAAAGGACTAGTTTTGTCTCTCTGCTCTCAGGAGTACAGCAACCCGAAGAAATATCGCTTCTGATTAATATATCTCTCTGCCTCTCTCACGCACGCACACACACACACATCATCATCATTCTCTCTTTCTTACATATGTTAATCACAAATATCTCCTCTTGCGCCGCCATTTATTTCGCCCCAATATCTCAACTGCTAAATGTTTCGGTCTTCTTTTGATTCCTTTGTATGCTTGCCAGCTCAATTCTCTCATCCACCTGCTTGCCTTTCAAAGTAGTCTTCTTTCAGGAGACTTAAAGCCGAATACTTTCAATCGTCAATTGTCTGGTTGATACGCTCTACTGGTTTGCAAAGTTGCCCAGCCCGAAGCAGCCTACCGTCTGGCGCCGATGTACGTGCTCACTACACCGGTCTGGGATGGGCAATCCAGGCCTCGCCTAGAGGCCACGGCAACACAAGTCCGATTGGCACCAGCAATTGGTTGCTGATTGCGATCCCAACGACACACTCGTCTTATCCTCTCAAAGGTCCTTCTGTATGCAGTCTTTCTTCCCCTCACGAACCACGCCTATGCTCGTCTCTCCTGCCATCTCCTTCACTTGTGCTTGTGGGTCAGCCCTTGCTCTCTCGACTGGCCGTCACAACCGTGTAACTAGGCCGGAGCCAGGCATAGTACCAGGACCCAATGCCATGACTACAAAAAATACATTTGCCCAGGCGAGCCAGACTTTTTGGTATCAAGCCGATCGAGCGAGATGCAAAACTGTTCTGTTACGCAACCGCAATCCTAGGCCCTTTCAGTCTGCCGAGTCAACGTACCAACAGCACATGCTTTGGGGTCGAATCCGACTATTTTTGCGTGAAGCCTATCCTCTGCCTCATGACTGAATGGAAGATAATATCCAATTGAGAAGAGCAGACTCTACCATGGAACTGCTCGCAAGCTACTTACCATTTACTTTACGAAAAATTGCAATATTATGTGGGGAGGGTCTAGACGTTAGCTTCCCCCCGAATTCCCTAAATTTACCGAACTATTTGACAATTGTATTTTCAAAGAGAAGTTGCGTTTCAAGGAGTCGCTTGGCTTATAATGATTGAGCCTACTTGCATTTTGAGGCAAAGTGTATGTGATTAATAGACTTGAACCTGAATCCCACCAGATGACGACGGCGGATTTACCTTTGCATTACTGGAGCAATTTAACCGAATCTTTCTCGAAAATGAGCACCTTCGACTCAGATGAAAATGTGCCAGGTTGGGTTTAACAATCAGAATAGGAGAGAGCAAGGCAGAAACTGGATATGGGAAAAAATGGTATGAAATTTATCATTTTGCTGATTATGCTACGTCTACGACAAGGCAC